CAGTATATTGACAGCTGTTTGTAACACCAATGTGATTGTTATATACATATACGTGACTACATGTATCTACAATATGTGTTGCTACAGTATTTTGACAGGTGTTTGTGACATCATTGACGTTACTATATGTATCTATGTACCTACCTACATAATGTGTTACTACAGTATATTGACAGCGGGTTGTAACACCAATGTGATTGTAATATAGATATGTTTGACTGCATGTATCTACAGTATGGGTTACTACAGTATATTTACATCTGTTTCCCCCACCAATGTGATTGTAATATAGATATTTGTGACTACATGTATCTTCAATATGTGTTGCTACAGTATTTTGAATGTGATTGTTATATACATATACGTGACTACATGTATCTTCAGTATGTGTTACTACAGTATATTGACAGCTGTTTGTAACACCAATGTTATTGTAATATAGACATACGTGACTACATGTTTCTACAGTACGTGTTACTACAGTATATTGACAGCTGATTGTGATCGTTGTATAGATATCATATTTCAGACTACAGTATAAAAACAGCTGTTGTTGTTAAAAATGTGATCGTTATATAGATATATATGACTACCTACATTCCTCCTTAAGAAAGAAGTGTAGAAAGCCACTGAAGTCCCCTGTAAATCCTGCATCCTTCATAGCGCTCAGAAAGCAGTAGTAGGAAACAGCGACGTTTTTAGGATTCCGGATGATGTTGACAACTATGCCTTTGCCGTTTTTAATGTCGTCCGGAAATAGATCTACCTCTAGATGTGTTGTAAACAGCCTCGGAGAGGGCATAGTTTTTATCATGTCAATATCGTTGAATTCCAGATACGTGGGATTCGCATATGTCATTGTTCCTGTCAGGAACATGTGTAGAATGTTGTACATCCAATGTGTTCCTGACAACAGTATGTAATAACGTCACTGCATTGGTTACTGATAGAGATTATATTAACGTAGCGATAGTATGTGATAAAAGTAAAGAACGTGTTGAAAAGACATACATATAAAGACATATATTGATATGTTACTAATACCACACACGAATTCCGATAGTTTGATTCCATTTTTGAGGGTGCGTTACGATATAAGAACATTTTCACACTCAAAAAATGTTAACTTTTACAACATGCGTTGAAAAACAAGTTGTCAAATTTTAATATATTTTTCTTCGCGAGAGATGCTGAGCTTTCAGCGATTTTTCGTTGCTTCAATTAACGTTCGGTAATTATACCGTTAATATTTACAATACAACAAGAATAAGCTGATTAGGAGAGCGAGCATCGTCGTAAAACACTACCAGATTTCGGGTAAGTGTATAGCAACACGTCCTCCTGTCGACATTTGAGCTGGGCAGTGTTGGGTACTAAGTCCCGGGCGTTAGTTGGGACATGAGGAGGGAACACATGCCCTTTATACAAGGAATACTGGATGGTGTTGCCACGCTCATCCTTGATTTCTACCGTCTCAATAACATCCATTATAATGTTTCCTCTATTCTAATAATTAAAAGAAAATAAGAAATCAATATTACACAATTTGCGTTATTCAACAAACACATAAGTTAAAATGGACATTTTCAAACGTTTATGACAAAACGAAAAGGGCACAAGAGCATCGATCAGTACAAAGGAAAATCAAAATTCCATACAAAGAAGAGACAACAGGAACGGATAACATTATAGAAGACAACAACAAGAACAGTTGAGACAGAAGCATTACTGACCCATCGGAGAGAAACGGAGAACATTAATAGGATTTCCGGAAAAGAGAGCATTTTCTGGATCATGTAAGACACACGAGCTTATATTTACATCTTTTCCTTCTTCAGCTAAGTAAACTCTGACTGCGTATAAATTTACGTAAACGCAATGAAAAAGTCTCGGCGGATTGATATATATATCTTTCAAATATGGCGCCGTCCACGCTTCAGGGCGATAACTGTTCGATGACAGCCATTTTTTGGTTCCTTCAACATTTAGAAACATGGAACATATTTGGGATCCATTATGTCTGATTATACATCAACTGGCGTTCGACCACGTCACTACCATAGCAGTGTGTCAATGCGTGTACAAAACGACCGTTATAAATGAATAAATATGTTTGAAGTGCTACTAATATTACTTAATTAAAAATGCACAGGCGATGACAAAAAATACTGTTGTTCACAGCATATTTTCTAAATTTACCAATATATCAATGTAGGTTCACTGGAACTATATTATCCTAGCAACCACGGCTACCATAGTTACCATTGTAGCAAACCGCTTCGAATGTTTATTTGCTTTGTATAGCATTTGAACATTATTTATGATGTAAATATTAGAATTGACATTCATTTTAACGGCGTATACGGTAGTTTGAACGCAGTTGGCAACAAACATGTTCTTTATGGAGCGCTAACGAGCACCATAGAATATGTTCGTTGCCAACTGCGTTCATACTACTATATACGCCGTCAAGATAAAGATAAATCCTTAAATAAGTACAATAACAATCTCATTGCAGTCAGAATGACGACCGTTACAATTCCTCATGATGGACTGTTAACATCTCCTAGGCAGACACATGTAACCCTTGGTTAGTCGTTAACATCTCCTAGGCAGACACATGTAACCCTTGGTTAGTCGTTAACATCTCCTAGGCAGACACATGTAACCCTTGGTT